CTCCATTAAAAAAAATAAAACCTCAGAAGAAATCCTAATTTTCACTGAGCTTGAACCCTAAGCATTTGGAACCATGAAAAGATTAGTGTTAAAAGTAAATAAAGAGGGTGGGGTTAAAACAAGGTTTATTGAACAACCCCCTAAGCTACAAGCCTGTTTATTAACTAAAAATATTTAACACTTACCTCATGGTGGTGCCCAGACATTCTAATTAGCTCTGCACTGCACTGTGGTACAAATACGAAGGTCAAGCCTTTTCCCAATTCAAATCAGCTGGAGTTTGACTGTGGACTTTGATCAGGGTTTCATGCATACATACAGACACTGTCTTAGTCAAAGAACTTGCTGCTTTTGCATGAGGTATAGTTTCCCCCAACATAATGGGAACTTTCTCATTGGAATTATAACATAGATGAAGTCTAACCTTGATTATTGAGTGGCTCCTACCTCTCTGTAATAAACTATAATTTTATATAAACTAGACACCATCCTGACACTTAACAGAGGATGGTCCCAGCTCTGAGGAACTCCCCATCTAAGGATAAGGAAATAGACAGAGTTAAAGGAAGAGTTTGCACATGTCTATCACCACAATATAAAAAGACACAGATATAGCTGTCTGAAAACAGCCTGGTGAATTGTTAACAGTAACAAAGGTGAGAAAAAGACCACTTTTTATCCATCCAGGCCTCTAAACAAAGCACTTCCTTTTTTTTTTTCAGGGTAACAGCTGGATGTCAAGTGTTCCACTGATGGAATGTCAGATTCTTCCATCCTCACCCAGTAATCGAGAGAGTATTCCTGAAGATCTGAGGAAGTTTATTTTTACAACTGTGCAGAGTGCCTACAAACCCTTTAGCCATGCAGCATCTGGCTCAGATACTGTCCTTTGAATGACTCCTCTGTTGCTACAGTAATTAAAGATATCCCAGGTGACCCCCCAATCCCTTATCAGGTTCACTAATTTAAGTGGAGTAATTTCGCTCTACATTTTCTATACCTTATATTTCTAACCTTTATAGTGACATAGGCAAGCACCATATTGCAGAAGCGCTTATTAGCACCCTATTAAAATATTTTATGGGCATTATTTATATAGTGCCACTGGGAACTGAATATTTTGCCACTGCTGAATTGGTTGCAAGAATTTAACCATGGCATAATGAAGAAAGGTAATGGGAAATGAAGTAGGAAAACAAACCCCCAATCAGGTCCCCTACTGCTGTGAAACTATGGTCCACTGAAATCAAAGCAAGTCTTTGGAACTTAGAGCCCCTCTTCCCTATAAATTCATAGATTTAAAGACAGAAAGGGCCATTGTGGTCATCTCAGATGGCACTCTATTCTTTCCTGGATGCCCAGACAACTAAATTTGGCCATCTACACAATCATCTAAAATCCCCAAGATGCCCCTTAAGGACAGGTAGGCATTTTATTACTGCATGCATGGAAGGTACATCAAAGGCTACATATTCACCTAGGGTTCTGGGTTCTGGGCAATAACTATGGGCACACCCAGACTGGACATGTGCACTGGTGTGGGAGAGACAGCCCATCTGTCCCCATATAGCTCAGTCTCTTTGACTTCCCAGAACACCACTCTAACCATCTGGTGTTCCTTCTGAAGCTGGTCCCCTGGACAACCATGAGAAGAAAGTGTATGATAGATACATGGGGCGAGAAAGAAAATAGGCAAAGGCATAGCAAGCCAGAAGGTGTTATCTGGCTCAATGAGGCAGTTGCTCACCTGAAAGGGAGGGACCCTTAGGTTCTAGCCTGGGTCCTTGCCCCAGTGAGGTAGTAGGTTCTCTACAATTTTGGTAGCATCCTCTATAAACTAGAGGATGCCCTCTATCCCTACATAGTCACATATAGTTGTTCATGTGCATAGGGCTACCTGCATGGGGACAGAATGCCAACTTGTGCATAATGATTTTCTCTGGGACTTATACAATCAAAAATGCATATAGGTGATCAAATCTGGATGCCTAGACAACCAGAAAGGAGCAGAATGCCACCCTTTCTAAACTACACAGGCCATAACATTTCCTTCTGGGATTGCTGCATCAAGCCCATCTTTTGTTACTGAGAAAAAACATCTCTCTTAGAAAAAAAACCCCAGAGGTTGATTTAAAGATAACAAAGAATTGTGTATGAGGTTCTTTCAATTGTAAATGACCACACTATTAAACATCTACACCTACTTCTAGCCTGAATTTATCTGGTGAATTTATCAATAAAGGACCCTCTACTCAGAAATCTTTCCCTGTAGGTATTTATAAATCATGAACAAGGCCCCTCCTAATCTTCTATCTACACTAAATAACTGGATCTTAAGTCTTTCCCACTTTTTTGTACAAAAAAAAAGAGTATTTGTAATGAAGCAACAGGCTTGGAAAGGCATCAACAAAATGTTTAGAAACATTTTCATTGCTTGCATTTTCAAGGCATTTTACTTAAGTCAAATCAGGAACAGACACTCATCTGCCAAAGAGCCTATACAATATTTTACAGAGACACTCTAATTGACATAACCTGTTGTATAAATGCCTGGCATTTTAACAAAGGTATCAGAAATTAGTAGGAGCAAAGATTACTCAGTAGGTAATTATTAATTTGCTATAATTATGATTTTTTTTTTTTTTTTTTTATAAATCACAGTGCAGAACTTTTTGGACAGGTTTTGTATGGGTGACCTTGAAAACATCCTTCTCAGTCACGAACCCTCTGTGACTGATTTAATTTTACAGTAAAAGTGTTAGCCCCAAGTGGTATTAAGCTTATTATCCATTAAAGGCCTGATCTAGAGTGGAATTAAATGAACAGAAGATTCCCACTAACTTGGCCTTCGGATCATGCAAGTCGCTAAAATAGACTAGCTGCTCTTAATACAGCTGAGGAACTGAAATCCTGTTGGTAGCAGAAATGGAGTCATGCATAGCAGCCCATTCAGGTGTGTATAACCCACATTTTGCCATGCATATACCACAATTAATACCTGGGGTAGCTGGATTAAAGCCAGCTCAAATATTTGTGCATATGACGATAGTTCAGTGTGGACACATCCTAACAGATGTGGAATGAACTACTCCATTCCACTGGATGACTTTGGCAGTTTCATGCCTAGAAGGATCACTTTGTATAGCCCCAAAGAAAGTACCCTCTAAAATAAACCTTTATCTGAATCCAAATACTTTCCAGAGGAGCAGGGTAAGAGACATGGTAAATGCAGGGGAAAGGGGAAAGCTTGGATCAAAGATAAAATGGCAATTTTTAGTGTTTTCTAAGGAATATCTACTGTATTAGAAGAAAACAGAACACACCCGGCAAAGCCAAACTCAAAGGTCAGCACTGAAAGGGGATTTCCTAGTGATCTGAGGCATCATGGTAAAAACAACTGAGGGAGACAAGCTACAAAAAAAAGCATGAAGATGACAAGGCACAAAGCCCAACTAATTATTCCCTTGTGGAAGGGAGTTAGTGCAAGAATAGAAAAGTCTGGGTGTGAGGGCTGGTTAACTACACAGAACCACTCAGTCTGTGGCTAATACTGGACTCAGCCCCATACCAGTGACCTCATGACACACTTATTTCTTCACATGCTTCCTCTGACCTTCCTTGTCTCACTAACAGGCTAGTCTCTAACTCTGTTGGCATGGCTTACAGCAGAAGACTACATCATCCCTTCCTTTCACAAGCCACATATAAAAAGTTAACGTTTTCCCAAGGAACTGCACCACCTAGTTTGGCTGCCAAATTGCATGACCTGCAAAATCTCCGTGGTTGCCCTTGGGGACCATTGGAGGGAATGGTGAAGGACATACTGCATAGCATCCGCTCCCTTTCTGCATTTTCTGAAAGACTCCTGTGCTTTCTTACCCTATTCTCATCCCTGTATAAACAATGGGTCTCTAGTAATGAAAAGATGTGCTTGGTGTGACATGCTTTACACATAGCCTTGATGTTACAAACCCTGCCCAGCTTGAGAGTTTTTCTATGAAGACTGACCAATTTAAATTAAAGCAACATCTGTGCAAGCAGTTACAGCAGCAACAATAATAACCTCTTGGAGAGATGTCTTGTAATTGTGCTATTCAGTCATTACATAATGAGCTTTCTTCCTCTCTTCTCCCTCCCCCACCTGTCAAAGAGGTGATGCTAGCATCCACTTCTAGTGGAGGAAGATATTGTTCTGCTTTCCTAGGTATGCAGTAAAGTGCTGACGCCAATGCTTTCCACCTCCTAAAGTTCATTACATGGTTTTATTAATTAATAGACTCAACATCCTATCACATGCTGCACTTGAAATCCCCCTAGCATTTGTGAAGCAGGCAATTAAAGCCATAGGTACTGGCACAAACAGACACTGATGGGCAGTAATATTCTATTGAATTTAATGGTTTAGTCAATAGCTGTGTGATGTCCGGCCTCAAATGCTTACCAGGCCAAAGGACAAAATATAAACTGAATAGAGAACACAGCGTTCTGATGTGAGTCACCCTCAATTCAGATTAACTCCACTCAAGCCAATCAGACTGCTTTAGGTTTCCCCTGAGGGAAGAATTTGGGTCACTGTATCTACAATGGGTAGAAACAAGTAAGCATAGAGAAATAGTAACAATTTACAGTGTTTCTGTAGAGAACTGAAATAATTGCCACATGACAATTAGGTGCAGCTGAACCTTTGTTTAAGGAATCTGGATATTATTAGACTTTTGCTTCATTTACACAAAACTGAATAGAAAACACTACCCCTGAACTTTAATATAATCTAATGGAAGGAGGGCCATTTGGAAACAGGCAGGCCCTCATCATCATTTGCTTGTTCACGCTACAATAAACCATTTCAATAGTCAAAACCTGGGTTACTCTTGATTAAGCTAACGCAATGCCCCTTGTCATTGTTGTCATAGGGGTTTGTTATAACAGATACTGTTCTAAGAGTAGCCAAGGTGAAAACAACAAAAGAAAGAAAGAGAGAGAGAAAAAAAATCACTTACTTGATATTGTCAAGACAGCCGGATTCAGGTTTCAGTATGGCAGTATGATGAAACATTTTATAGAGAGCAATCCCAAGGAAGATTACATTAAGCTGCAAAGAAAAAAAAAAGGGAGGGTGGAGGTTGCGTGATACGGCAGAATCTGAAGGTAAAAAAGTAACTTCATTCTTTGTAACAGATGAGTTGCTCTGGGAAATTAGCTCTCACTACACTACAGTATTATAGAGCCTGAATCACAGAAGATTCCCTACTACTTTATAAAGGCAAGCCAGCTCATAGAACATGGGAATGGTAATACCACCGAGCCACACAAAGCAGTGGCATCGGGGCTGTTACAAATACAGAGCCGGTCTCAGCAGCAGCAGCATTCCAAATGATGTTGGGGAAAATTAAAACTAGTCACTTTTGACTGTTTTTCTGTGTCTTTCGGATGTGTGCTAATGAAAAAAAAAAATCAGTCTAGGCTTGTTGTTCAGCTGGCCCTGTTAAAGTGAACAAAGCTGCCTTCAATGTGTGTCACTGTGCACTTTTCCCAATTCCTGGTAACATGGCAGATGTGTAGGAAAGTCATTATTGTTAGAGGTGCACGGCAATAATGATTAGAAAAGAACATCTTGGCCTGCTCTGTAAAGGGCAGATTGTGGCTCGATAGCTCTTTTGCTAGTGAGGCTCTCAGGTACTGCAAATGAGGTCCTGAAGACCCAGGCCAAGTGAGAGACAGGCCATGCCTACAAGGTAAACTTATGATGCCTGGCAGTGGCAGTCTCAAATACATTGTGCTGCTGGGGATGGATTCCCTCCTAAGCCATGTCAGCATGGTGTCAAGGGTGGGCTAATTAGCAGAGTGCTGGGCTACCTGGCCCTGTTACATGGCTGCAACTACTCTGCTTCTGGTTCAGAAAGCAGCCCACCTGAAGGAGCACATCATGATTGAAGGTGCTGCTGCCAGGTACAGTAATTTTATCATGCAGACATTTCCACTGGGGGAAGATGCCTTGTATTTCTTTATTTCTTAATACGCAGACAAAGATGGCTCTGCAAAGACAAGTGTGAAATATGCTTTCTTCAAACCACATGTGCCTCTGTCTTGCACATAATCTGGCTGCTTTTGTGTATGACAATGCAGTCACTATAGGTTTAACTGGTGGTGCTAACTTCACCCTGATCTAGAAAGGGTGAAGGGCTCTGGAATTATATGAAAACTAGTTACGATATCTGTGCTAAAATGAGTGTGTTGGGCTTGTTGCATGAGTAGAACTATTTTATATTTAAAACAAAGGGTGATTTATATGAGCCATACTGTAGCGATTTCAGTATGAAACAACTCCAGCTGCTTCTGCAGCATGATTCTTTACCTTGTTGCTATGTTATCTGATATGCTGGCCAAATGCGTTAACTGTGAAGTCACATTTATTTTAACTTCTACGGTGGGGAGGGAAGGGGGAAAAAGAGAGGGATTCTTTTCCATGCGTGACTTTGTTCCTCTTTTCAGATTTCCCTTTGTGCATAAGCAATGCAATGCTTCATTTTGGAATTCAAAGGGATGGGAGACTAGCGCATAGTGGTATTAAAATAGAGACCAGAGCTTCTAAATGGCTGGTAACATCAAACAGAACTTGCCAAGTGACCTTTCTGAGCAAGTGTCCATAGTACCAATTCACTCTGCAGCGTGCCTTTCCCCCCCAATAGGATCTGATCAAGTATTTCTGAATGCAGTGTTCTAACGAGTGTCTAATTGCTTGTGTTAGGTGGGGTCAAAGAAGTACATGCCTTTCCCAAATTAATCTACGTGAATTAAAGATAAAGAGTAAAGAGACAGTGAAAGTTTTATTCCTTGACCTGAGAGACGGAATAGTTAATTTGGAGTTCTTACCATAATTATCAAGGTCGCCGGTCCTATAAAGCTCCAAATGAAGTAGGTGTCAAGTCGGAGCCAACATCTGTAATGAAACACAGGGGACAGAAGGCATTCAAGGACTGCGCCCGGAACATATATCAAGAGTGAGAGAGTGACAGAGAAGAATGTGAGCTGCAAAACATTCCACTGGGAGACAGGAAATATTACATTGCTTGTTCATTTAAATGCTGAATTATGTGCCCAATTTCTGACAGTGCTATTGATTGAGCAAGATAATTACCTCGGGAGGAAGCTGAGGAAAAAAAAATGGCATGGGGCCTAGTAGCTAAGGCCTTTTGCATCTGTCACAGAAAACCTCATAAAAAAGGGAGGGGATCTATGAGCAGCCATTAACTCCCTTAGCTTTAAGCAATTCTTTTCTCTCCAATTATGGTGCAACATAACCTGTCTGTCAACTGTCAAGCAAGGTGACATTTTCCTGTCAAGATGTTCTGAGCAAACTCAGTGCAAAATTGAAATAAATCCTGGTACCAGAAGACTGAAGCTTAATTTGATTTGGCAACCTCCCCTTCCAGGGTTTTTTTTTTTTTAATCCTCGGAACCTGTGGACTGTATTGTTCCTACTAACGTTTCTAGGGTTGCAAACGATCTCCAGTATCACATAAAGTTGATTCATGGCCTAAAACTAAATTATTAATCACTTAATTTCAGCCACGTTTAATACGCCCCAAATTTTTAAGGCCCCTGGGAAATTACATTTCCATTCCTAGTTCATTTGAGGCGACAGGAAGATAAAATGGAAGTGACTAGTTCCTAGACAGATGAATGTAAATCCTAAGAAAGTTACATGTGATGCTTAAAATAATAACATCTTGTCCTGTTTGTAATGTTGCCCATTAAAGTTGTGTTTACATAAGGGCAACTAATAAAGTGTAAAAATACTTTTATCCTAGAAATTAAATGGATTTTCTAATTAAATGAAGTGACTAAGCTTGTACATGTTAATTTATCCTGATGTGACAGAGTGTAGTTCAGCAGTTCTAATGCTGCTGTGCCTGGGGTCTGAGCTGAGTCTTATTCGTTTCAGTGGAAATACACATGAGCTGAGGAGTGTGTTAGCAGATCCAGGGAAGGCTTTAACTTCTAGAATTTAAATTCTACCAAATTAAGAATTCCTCTTTCTATACCTGATAATTTTAAGATTCATAAAAATTAATATTTCAAACTGCAAAATAGAGGGAAAGTATTTTTCCTTATAAAAGTATGCACAAATAGCCATAAAAATATAAACTGATTAAAAATATACCACACAAGCATAGTGATATTTATAGGAAGGCAACACAGATTTCAAAAAAACAGTCATTACTATGCTAAGAACACCTAAATTGTCACTGAAGGTATCCATCAGAATTTTAATCTGAGAGGTAAACCCAAAAGGCTTTCTTAATGTTAAAACAGAAGCCCTGTGTTTCTTCTGCATTAACTGAAGTTCAAACTGCTTTACATACAGTTGGTGACAGACATAGTTAATGAGTGGTTTTCAACTATTTTTAAATATATTTTTATGGGCATATATGACAGTAGCACTGTGAAACCCAACAGAGATCTGAGCTCCGTTGTGCTAGGTGCTGTACAGTGCCATAGCAATGAAATTTGGCGCCTGGGACAAAGCCCGCAGCAACAGCCTGCCCTCGCCCCGCGCACAGATCCAGGGTGCACGTGCCCCCCCATGCTTGCCTGGGAGTGCATGCATCAGCAGGAGTTGCCCTTCCTCCGTCCCCGTGCCCCACCAGATGAGCTGCTTACAGCTCCATCCCGCACCCTGCCCTGGCTGGGCAGCACCTGTTGGCACCCCTTCACTTTGGCACCTGGGATGGACACCCCATTTGCCTCCCCCCACCATTGCTATGTCATGGGCATAGAAAAAGAGTGCCTGCCCTGAACACCTTCTAGTCTACACCAATGACACGGAAAAAGGAAGTATTTTTATTCACATTTGATAGATGGAGAAACAAGGCTATAAATGGCAAAGTGATAGCAGGCACGTGGCAGAGCTGGAGACTAAACTTAGGTCTCGCGAATCATTTCCCTTCAGAGAACAGTTTCTCTCAAAGTACGTTTGAGAGTACGTGGTGTGGACAAGGAAGTCCATTATCAAGCAGCAGTTGCTGATGAAGGTCTTGGTCAAGTTCGGCCCTTACATACACAAATCCTCATTGTGTCAAGCAGTGCCTTGCAGAGCTTTAGTGTGTTCTGCTCTACAGACTGTGAGAACAGGCCCTCCTCCTGCTACACTCAGTTGTGTTTGCAGCTTACAAGGAAAGAGGCCAACTGAACATGTCCTGCTGTGGGATCTTGACTGTTCTGGGCCAACTGGGGTATGCCAGTGCCCCTCCATGAAAGTCAAAACAGATACATCAATACACCAGCTGCAATATGGACATTTGTTCATTTTCCTTACTACGTATTCTGTGGTATGAGACACACTAGTGTCAAGACACTAACACCAAAAAACAAAAAATTTAAAAAAATGTTTAAAAAAGTATAAAATTGAGGGAATACATTTTTAATAAAAAATCAATTGATGATTTGTTATACTTTGTTCAGTTATGTTTTGTTACACAGCCTTAGTGTATAAAGTATATCTTATCTGTATATATCTGTGTATATGTGCGCGCGCACACACACACGCACACACACACACACACATATATACGGTACATCTTAATTTTCTATTTTCAGGGGCAGCATGTCTCACCTCTGTGAAAATATGGCAATTGCACATTAATTTTAATGAGCTGATAATTATTTGGAGAAAAGGAGAATATGTTGTGATCTGAAATTCGCTGAGAAATGGACAGAATTACCCACAGACCGATCACAGATGTGCCATGCCATAACGCTATTTTCAGTCAAGAAGACGACTTTTTCTTACCCTTTTAGTATGACAAAGTGTTTAAAACTAATTGAACTTAAAAAAATTGAACTTGGAAAAAAATCTGTCAACAGGCAAAATTGGTCTCTGAAAACCCTGTGGAGCAAGAGGAGCATGGCACATTTAAAGTTAGAAAGCAAATAGTTTCTCTTAGAGCACTCAGAAGTCTATGAGCTCCTGAAGAGTGGGACGGCAACAATCCCTTGGTTTTAGCTTGACAGCCATATGGGCACAGCTGCTCCTGTCTCTGGACACAAATTCTGCATCACTGGTCTCTGACTTACGCCCTCTTCCTAAAAGCTAGCATTGCTCCCTTCCCATTTCTGGCAGAAACAGAAATCTTGCATCCTGGCTGCATAATTCAAGGTGTCTATGCCTCACCTGTAACATTCTGATGTGGTCCCAGAGCTAAATTCTATGCTGGGGTACTTTACCAACAGCCTAGCTGACTTATCATCAATAAAAGGCATGAAGACAGCAGATTTAACAAGCTATTTGGAATCAGAAATGCTTGTGAGCACCACTTTGCAGTATTTCCTTAGCTCTAGTTATCAGCTCTGCCTTCACATAGTGAAAACCTGGATGGGCTTTTGAGTGTTATATGATCCGCAAAAGCCTCTCAGTGTGTGGAGTCCTCCTTCTCTGCTAGAAGCTTCGTTTGTTCGTCCTCACCAGTCTGTCCAACTAATCTGTCATTACATTTTAGGGAAGGATACAATGGAGAAAAAAGGAAGAGAAGGTTTACGGAGAACTCAAAGGAAGAACAAAGTAACTGGATTCTTCTGTGAGCAGCCAAGCAGTTCAGATCTTTCAGAGCCTCAACAGGAAATGCTGGGTGCTGAGCTCTTTTGAAAAATGTAGCTACCATGCTCCAGAGCACAGTTTGTGGCAAATTCTAGGGTTGTGGACTGCCCAAGGAATAAGCACCTTACTTTTTTTAACTGACTGCATTAGGTCCCTTGCCAAAAATGGTCCCTTCTGTGCAAGGTGCCATACAAATGCAGTGGAAGAGTTGGTTTCTGCCATGAAGGGCCTGCAATCCAGATAGACAAGACAAGAGTGAAGAATATCAAGGTGAGAAAAGGTTTGCTTTGCATTGCAAACTTGAAAGATGGTGTTGCAATCCCTCATTTGTTCCAATAGACAGGTAGGCTACTATGAAACTGTGCGCCCCACTCTTAAGTGACAAAAAAGGAACTCACGGATCTGTATCTCATCCATCAGGGGACAAAAAGCCCATTTTTGGTGGTCACCAGGAGGTGGTGTAACTTTGAACCCATTTAAATCAGACCTCATTAAAAATGCAAATTAAGAACAAAACATCAAAACGTGGGCATGCTGCCAGCTCTGTTACAGAGATGTAAATTGCTAATCAGACAAGTACCGTATTGAGCTTTTCTATCCTTAAAAACAAAACCACAAACACAATGAGCTGAATAAATGAGCTCCTTGAAACAAGGAAGCAATCAGGAGACTGAACTCTAAAAGTTTCTAATCTCAAGCTGCTGAGCAACTCCTGACCCTTGTACACAGCTGCAGTATGAGCACCAACTTGTTTTATGGCAAGTTTTTCTGCCAGCATCCATTAAACAAATTAGATGCTTCTGTGCTTAGCACAATGCATATCAGATTATCTGACACTCCATGGATGCTGTATATACTGTACATTTTGCAAGCAACAACAAAAACTTTCGCTTCTTCTTCAAAGAGATGTACACATATATTCAGTTTGGTGCTATCAAGGTGCTATGTGGCATTGCTTTCCTTTTCTTTTTAATTTCCTCCCTCCCACAGTGACAAGTAGCTATATTCAACCAAAGCTTTTTTTCCAAGTAATAAAAGCTACAAAGAGTTAGCTTTATTTTCTGCATGAAGAGAAATCAAATACTAAACTATCCCTGGTGTATATTAAATGTAACCAATAAACAATCATTAGCTGCCATTGGAGCGTAAAATTTGCAGAGCCCTAACGTATCATACTCTTCATGGGAGTTGGGTAGTTTGCTTCACAAGGCTACGCAGCCTCCTTGTCTCTGGAAGGCAACAGCCACAGGATCTCTATATACAGTACATGTCACTGAAGGGTGGAATGATGTTCTGCTTTACTACATCTGAGTGTCCACATTGCTTACTTCTCCACCAGAGAG